TTAATTGCAAAAACCGTGCGTGTGGCATGAGAAGTAGTGAAAAGGGATCAAGTCACAGTTGCCGCCTGGCCTGCTCCATATATATGTACATATGGATACATATGTGGTGTGGCTATACTGTATCTATGAACTTGCCACCGCAAAACACGCGAGCTGCTGCGGTCTAGTTGCTGCCCTCTCCTTTTAGTTTGGCCCCACAAAAACTTGGCAACTTTGCACATTTGCCCCCAACTCTTTTTGCCCAGCCAACACTGCATATTTGTCCAAAGTAATGAGACTTTTCACAGCTCTTTTTTTGTAGTGGTAGTCTTTTTGTGTGGCGCAGCGTGAAGTCGAAGTTGTCTCCTAGACAGCCTCGAAATGCATTATGGGAATTTTGTGGCATTTTCATTAACAGCTCCCCTCCTCCTCATCGCTCATATGAGTCCGGCTCTCTGTGTGTGTCTTAGTTTTAATTTGTTTGCGATTAACACGCGAGCGTAAAAAATATTTACAAGTCTTGGACGTTTTTTCGTGATTCATATTGGGGTGAGGCTAGGAAAATGGGAGGTACCGATTAGGTAAGATTGGAAAAGGATTAGGTATACTTGGGCGAAATGCCATGACTTGATATGAAAAATAAATAATAAATAATAAACAAAATTAAATAATATATTTCACTTGAAATTCTTCAACATGGGTAAAAATCCTTACTTAGCATAGTAGTAGTAGTTATTTCGGAATTTCGGTTTTTGGTTTTAGATTTTTAGATCAACCCAGCTCCGCTCTGGACAGACACCTTCCAATAAAGTGTCCTTACTTTTATTACTGTATGTTCTTAAAGTAGAAATGCTCGCAAAGTCGACTGAGGAATTTCTCCTTTCATCGCCTTGCCTTGATTTTCTTCCAGCTGAAAGAGCCTTAAATTCCTGGCCAGCAGCTGCTGACGTTGGCAATTTATAGGAGCCCCTATCAATCCCCTTTCCCTTTTACTTGTTTTATGGCCAACACCTCTTTGTGGGGCCCGCCTGACCGCTCGCAATTAATTAGCGGCAATGAGCTGTTGCCTCTGCCTCCGAAGTTTCGGTTTCAGTTCCAGAATTTCTAGACTTCCACTGTTTATGGCAACTAATGTGCGACGTTGTTTGCGTTGTTATTGCTCTTTTATGCTGCTGCAACATCCACATTATTTGTACGTTTCTTGTGCTTTTGCTGCTTGGCTGGCCAATGTCTGGCTAATTTTCTATTTATTTGACCACAAACTCAGATGGAGCACCACTGCACACACATGGATAAAGGCGCACTCCGGCTAATTTATGGGTTTCTTGCACTCTCTGCCCGGGCCGGGAAAAGGCATTAAAGCCTGCTCTATTCCCCCGGCTATTGGCCGTATGCATTCTGCCCTGGCTTAAAGTTTCAGTTCGTGCCGGAAAAAGGAGGCTACCGCACCCAGAATTTGCTGGCCTGTTGCTCCTCGGGAGATGGAGATCGCACAAGAACTAGTTTACTTTCAGCGACTGTCCAATGCTCATCAACCTGATTTTACTACGGAACACGACCAGAGCTACAGAGGAAAAAATAAAGTATAGATTTCATATGAAAAGAGAACATAAAATGAGATAAGAAAAAAATAAAGGCTTCTTAAATGATTTAAAAAAGAAAATATTTAAACGTTCCGTTCAGTTTTGTATTCTATCAAATTTAAAAAATAACGAAAATGTTTTTTTAACGTTTTGGAATAGTTCCTAAAAGTTATTAAGCACTGGTCAACGGCAGAAGAGACATAAACCTATACCCAAGGGATATGCTTTTTGTACTAAACATTGGAACTATAGTATTCAGGGAAGATCCATTATAATATTATTATTGTTTTTACATTAAAACAAAGAGTTGAAATATTTTTTAAAAAGGACTGTTTTGTAAATCTTAAAATATATAATTTTCTTCTGTGCATTAAGATTTTCCCCTGCTATTTGTGACTGTCGGTTGTCGGCTGTTGGCACACGCCCTCCCCCAACAATTGCTACTGGGCTTAAAGTTCAGGCCAGGTTCAGTTGGAGTTCATGCGTGGCTTGTCCGCCCCTCCCCTTGCCCCTGCCCCTTGGCCACACAGCCTTAACTTGGCCTTTGCGGCGGATTCCGATTTGGAATCGCTGTAAAATGACTTTTTGCCATGATTTATGTTTCCACGTTGCGCTTCAAGTGCAACAGTTTTTATTATATTAAAAGAGGTAGTAGGAGAGCGAAAGGTTTAATGGTTTGTAAAGTCAATTTGTAACAGCGATACTTAAGAAGTAACTACAATATTTGCCACTCTCCAAGTTATATAAATTATTTCTTTTTTGGTATTTATTAGTCACAAGCACTTAAATTTAACACCAACATAAAGATAAACACCTAAATTTTTACAAATCATAAATCACTTTTTAATACATGTATTGTTATATGGATTTCACCTTTCCAATTTTCTAGTTTTTATAAACATTATCATTTTTAATAACCACAACTTAACCACTGAGTATTTCGATGGTCGAGCATAAGCGTTTTTAAAAATGATCAACTTTTAGATGTGGGTCGGTCTGATCTGGCATTTGTTGTTGCTGGGCTGCTGCTTTAATTAGCTCAGCATTGTTTATGCTTATTTCGATTTGTTTCATTTTTTCTCCATTACTTTTTGTATTTTATTAATTAATTTGCCCGCTTCGTACTTGGAACAAAGGCGAAAAAGCAAATGTGTGGCAAGAAATGAGCTCGTATATCGCTTTGTGTAAGACTCAAAAGACACAACCCACATGATTAACATTTGCTATTTCCATGGATTAAATCAGAGCCTCTTGGCTAAATTTGCGCAATTAAGCGAGGCTAAAAGTTTGTTTCCATTTTCCACTGCAATTTGAGATCGTTTGCTAAGATCGAACAGATGCGATAGTCGGACCAGAGTCATTTTAACTCGGTTTTTGGTGCGGGGGGTTCAACTAAACTGGTTGCCGTTTTAAGGCATAAACTACAACAATTAATAACAGCAACAAACGCAGCGGCAACTTTTCATGGTTTCGCTTTACAACAACTACTGGCTGCAATGACTGGAAAATGTTTTAAATATTTAGCATCCATTAATCAATTTGCACTCGCCGCTGATCTTGCGTTGCGATGCGGTCAGTTTTTTGGCCTGGGCTCAGATTGCAGTACAGTGGGTAATAAGTATAAGGAAATTAGTAATCTTTAAAGAAAGTAGCACTGTAAATAATATTTAATATCTTTAAAATGGCTTATAATAAGGAAAAATCCATTTGTTCATTTGTTTGAAAAAATCTATAAATATATTAATTCACCTTTCGAGTCCCCACTGCTTTACTGGTTTCAATTGCAGACGAGATTGCACATTATTGTATTGCATTTCATATGAATTTTGTAATTTGTTTGTGTCCGCTACATGGAAATGCTTTACCTCCTCTCCCTAAAAAAGCGATAAGGAAAAATTCGATTTAAATGTTAATAAATTGGCCTGGGATTTGGGATTTTATTTATTTTTTATTAGGTGGGTGCGTGTTTAGAGCATGGGAAATATTAAAGACCGCGCCCATAGACACCAGAGTAGTAAAAAAGAAGGCCTAATAAAGGGGAAAATTTGCCAACAGAGAAATGAAAGTAAAATGTGATTTCCCATTTAATTTGATTTGGTTTATTCGGTGTGAGATGGAAACTCATTTCGATTTTGATTCGACGCTTGCGGTGTTAACTTTGCCATTTCATGTCTGTTTTTTACCATGACCACTCTCCTATTTTGCATTGATTTATCTCGACTTTGTCTTTGTTTTGGCCTACTGCAGTTTTTCCAATTTTTGTTTCGCTTAGGGAAAAGTTCAATCAAAAGATGGGGCGTGACCGAAGGAGGGCGGTGGGATTGCCAGACTTAATCAATAACCAGAAGCGGCAGCAGCAGCTCCACCACCAAACAAAGAAATAAGCATAGAGTTATTTATTTTTATATTTCTAAAATTGAATCGCAATGTGGCCCACAGCCAGTTATTTATGGGAAAAACGTGAGAAGCGGCAATTGCACGAAAACTGTGTACGTCGCTCGTCTATTTACTCTTGCCATTATTATTATTATTTTTGCATTTGTTGCGCATTTTGGGCAGTGTCTAATTTATTGAGAGGTGTGGCACCCAAAAGCAGAAATAACAGCAATCGCAATCAAATTATCAAATGAACAAATCTCTACGACAATTTGAAGCGCTTGAAGAATCGCACGGACAGGTACTGGGAAATAAAAAAATATTTACCTATAAACTCACAATTGGCGGCGCCCAGAATTTGGTGATTTATCGATTAATTGCATTCGCGCAGCTCTGACATTTGCTTGGAGGCCAAACCGAACCCAATCGTAGGAAGAAAAAACTGACCTAAAGAAGCTCTGATCTGCATTCAAATGGTGATTAAATGGTCAAAACGAAAATGAGATCAGTTCGGATCGAAGCAGAGCAACGATTGACCGAAGAAACATCGACAAACATGAAAATCATTAAATTCGTCGAGGCAGCTGCTTGGAGACAAGTCTAAATTTAGCGGGCCTCGAGACATGAATATCATAGAGGGACAGTAAGGAACAGAGACATAGTGCTATCGATCAAAAACATAATAACCGACATCTTTATCGGGACTGTACCACTTTCCAATCGATAATCAACACCTTATCGTAAAATAATCGAAACTATTATCGGGTATGTACCACTTTCCAATCGATAATCAACACGATTACAACACAAGTTCAACTTTCATATTTGAAGTTATCATTTATCGCCCTATCGAAAGTTGGAAAACAGCATATTACACCGTCGTCTGTCCCAAATTAAACGGTTCACCATAAACGATTAATGGCCTTTTCGAGTGGTACATTGAACACATTCAGTTTGTAAATTATCCAATCACCCAATTATCGATTATAGCCACCATGTGGTGGCCCTCCGCATCCGTTGACTTATATTTTCGCCACGCACTGTCAGTGGCCCGCGCTGTATTTGCATAAATTAAACTAATTGGGCGCCAAAGCAAAGTCACCGCAAATGAATTTACATAAACCGATGGATAGTGGATGGTATGGGGAGGGGCTTCCAGGGGACTGGGGGATCCGCAATCGAAGTTGAAGTGGAGCTCAGTGCTTTGTTTTTGTGTTGGGTGAGGCAATCCCAAAAAGCGAGAAGTCGGACCCACAGAAATTGAAACATTTCACATTTTTAATTTGTACGTGATAGGGCAAATAGTTTTGCCACTTGATGGGGGCTCGCTCCCTTTTCCTCCGCTCTTTTTGTGGCACGGAAAATTATGCAGCACACAAATCAGCTCCAGTTTTCCTCCGATTTTCCCCCTTTTCCACTTGCATTGCACGCTAACGTGGCAGGGCAGACAAATCGACTCTTTTCTGTCTGGCAGCACTTAGCACGTGATTGAAAATTGCCCGGGAATGAAGTGATTGGGTTCCTCCGAGAAGGAAAAATACATAGTTTGCCCCTCTCCTCGCCGATTCCAATTGCCTGCAATTCATTTACTTCTTCCTCTCCACGGTGAATACAAAATATATATTTCTCTGTACAAACAATTTGCGGAACTTTGCTCTTTTCGGTTTCTTCTTTGTCTTTGGCATTAAAGGCAAATTTACAAATTAGTGTGAAATTAAGGCCAAAAACGAAAAGTACACAGCGCAAAACAAACACAAAAGGCACAGAATGAGCACTCAAGATCCAGAATTAACGATATATCCCCTCAGCCTCATTCGTCGTTTTCGGGATTGTGTTCCCATTGAAGGCGTCGCCAATAGGAGAAGGCCACCAACCAGAAATAAAGGCTGAAAACTGTAGAAAAATCCAATAAATGTTGGATATAAAATTTTAGTCGTACTTACTCAGAGTGAAAAAAACGGGAATGGCTTCCAGGGTGCAGAAACCGCAGCTTAGGGCGTAGTCGATGAGGAAGGCGGTAGAGAAGATCAAATGGACTATGTTGGTCACGAGATATATGAGGACCAGCAATTCGATCTGCTGCAAGAGATGGGGATCAGAGAGGGGACTTTAAATGGTGATGACATACCATGTAAGTGCTCATCAGAAGGAAAATCGAGCCGAGGAAGTGCAGCATATAGGCAGCCCTGCCGATCACCAATAGCCGACCACCTAAGTTTGATACAAAACACGGTTTTTCAAGTTTAAAAATAAATTTAAGGAAGAAATTAAAACCCAGAGCTTACCTCTGCTTACCTTCTCCGGCAAAAATGCCTAGTATCGATGAGAAAATCTCGAATAACGCCAGGAAACTGCAGCCCGCCCGCAGATTCACGCAGCAACAGCAAGACTTCAGCCTGGGTTCCCGACATTTCATCTCTTATTTGACAGCAGGCCGAAGGCCTCGCCCGATCGATCCGCCCGCCCTATAGGGAATGAGTATCGTATCGTGTTATATGAAAAACTTCCTAAATTTAAACCTTTTTGAAATGGTAAGGTCACACTGCATCCTTCTTAAGGATCGACTGATTCATATTGCATCATGGTCACTCTAAAAAATGTGTAATATTATAGTCAACGTTTTTTAAATTATAATATTTTCTCTCATTGATATACGACCTTGTGTGGCTAGAAAATAGCTTATATGGCAACTCAGTTTCGCTTGTGTTTCCATTTTTTTTCGGCCATTCAAGGTCAGAGTCAGCTGCTCGGAACATGTGATAATGTTTGGTATTCTAATTTGAAACGCCTTTGTCTTGGCTGCTCAACTCATTTGGCTCATTCAATTTGACAGGCGACGGAAGCGACGCCGCCTATAAATTACAGCACATTCATGGGTCTTGGAATTGGACTTGGTTTCTGATTCAGATTCGGATTCGGACTTCACCAGCTGTGACTGCACTTCACTTTGAACTCCATTCAGGTCCGAATCCAGCGAAACCAACAAAAGTCCAGACAGGAAGAACCGGCCAGCCCCCAAATCATTGATTGTTCCAATGACAGCTATATGCTATGTGGTATTGCCAAAAGCCATATAGCTGGGGCTGACAGGAGGCGGATCTGACTCACAGATCTTGAAACGATTGGCCCGGTCGAATGCAAAATTCGGCTATAATGGGTTCTAAAAATTGAACAATTTTATACTCTGCTCAAACGAGATGTTTGAAAATGATGTGAAAATTTAATCAATTAGCTGGCTATTAAATTAATGGTCGATGAGAAATATAATTAGTTAAATCAGTCGTGTTAGAAAATAAATAAAACGTTTAAACTACCATAATATTTGGTGGAATACCCGACTGATTTAATAAACTTTAACCTAATAATTATTCAAGTAAATACTATTCGTTCATATCTAGAATACTGATACCACTTGAAACTTAGTTTTGCCAATTAAAAAACGATTCAATTCGCATAAACAGTATGTGATAATAATCCAAAATTTGCTGACCAAATAAAGTCGATAAATTCATAACCCAAGCCCAAATACGATGCCCGATTTTATTCTAGCACTTGGTACACCCCCTTCATAAAGAAAGGGTACACTCATAAGAATTAAGATCGCTTTTAATGGGAGGGGGCCTTTTGTAGATTCTACAGAATGGAAAAAAGAAAGAGCAGAGCGCACGTGTTCGGGCCAAAAATGAACCATAATAATAGGCGGTGGGAAGGCCAACGCATTTGGGCCATTAAAATTCATTAGCCGTGCACATCTCGATCTGGAGTGCGAGATCCGATCAATAAAATAAGCAAACAATAAAGAGCGGGTCGATATATGAGCAATATGAACGATCCGAACGATCTGAGCGGTCCGAACTGACCAGCTGCTGCTGTGTTTTCGATTCGAATTAAAATTCATATTGCCCAAATTAGCAGAAATATCTCATCTCGGGGGTTTACTTGTGGGTGAAGAGGACTGGAATGTGGGACGCTTGGCTCAATTAACCTTTCGAAATTGAATTTCCTCACAGCCTGTAATTGTTTCGAAAATAAATTACAAATTTCGCACCGCTTTGCTGATTAGCAAAAGGCGATGACTAAGTCGAGAAAATGACGCGACATTCGGTCTGCTTTGTTTATGTTATATAATCGAAGCCAAGGTGTAAATAAACAACGTATTATAGCATTTCTAATGGCTTTAGCTTTCGGGTCCAACAACCAGATAAGGTATTTTTTTGTACCCCCCAGATAAGTTGAAATTCCACTTGATAAGAGCGAGGGAGAGCTCTGTATAAATAAAACTGAAATTAAAATGCTAATAAAACCGGAGGGAAGGAGGGAAAAATAAAATAAAACAAATCTATTCAATGTCAAGGTCAGCAAATGAATTCGACTGTTTGTCTCATGGCGTTTCTTACTTTTTTTATTTCACATTTTGTGTTTGCTTTCGTTTTCTCGTTATTTTTATTGTACATTTTTGTGTAGCTTTTTCTGTCTTATATTGGGCATTGTTGATAACTTTATTTGCTTTGGCCGTAGGCCATATAACAAGCTGAAAAGAAAATATGTGAAAAAATTCCCAGCAGGGAACTAAATATAATTTTATTTGCTTTAATTTTATAATGTCATTTTTAAGCTTTTAAGACCCTTGAGCAACTTTTGTTTTCACTTTATTTCGGGCCCCTCTGACGTCAGTTTGTGCAAAGAAAATATTGTAGAGAAAAAAGAAACTTGAAAAGTCACGTACTATTCGATTAGTCAGAATAATGCCAAGTTACGTGGCTTACAGCCAATAAATATATAAGCATTTTAGAGAGGGAAATCCTTATCGCCATTCTATGCGGCTTGAACTCGAGACCAGAGGAATTTCCGCTCGGCTGTCATATTTGCAATTTTCCAGCTGTCAAGGAATTTACATTTTTATTTAGAGGAATTTGTGCATTCATATTTTTCGCTTATCTATCTTTTTCTGATTTATGCATATATTTTCTTCTACGATTCTTTTTAGCTCCACATCTGGCTGCAATGGGATCTTTTCGCGTCGCCTGGACTTCTCGTCGTTCAACTTGCTGCCAAAGACTCGTTTGAATTCTTATCAAGTCAAGGTGAGTTATGAATACATATATACGATTCAAATCCTAGGCTATCTACTCACACTCATTCACTGTTTCGCTTATTCACTCATTGAGAAACCGCAGAGTTTGCTTGACTTGACTGCTTTCTGGGAAGGAAAGGCAAACAAATATCTGCCTGACTTGGCAAACTTGCAATTGGATATGCCTTGGTCTAAATGGGGGTTTATTTTTGTTGGATTAGATAATTTCCAGCTGGTCTGCGGAGGCTGCCGAGCTGAGTTAGAATTCTCGGGAAGTGCAGCGTAGAAAAATACAAATATTCATTGTCTAAGCTATTTTTGCAGTCACATGAGTAGCGAGAGCGAAAAGCTGAAAAAGCTTGACTGCAGTGGGAAGATAATAAAGATTTGCAAAGTATAAATTAAATATTAGTTTATTTTTAGACCGAAATTATATATTTACATCTATTGAACTATCCAATTCCAGTTAAATGGTTCCCTTGAAGTGTTTTTCCAATTATTTAGAGTACTTGTTCATTATTTTATATGGTTTATTTTCACAGTGCACCTCATCATCGATTGTGAATGAGTGCATTGGAAGCCAATCAAGAGGAAAAAGTCTTTGGGCCGGCTGCTTATCTTTCAATCTCGCCGCCTCTCATTCAGCCTTTTTTCTCAAGTACCCTCTTTTCTGCCATAATTCCCCTTCTATATAGCCTCCGATATTACCCCGATTCAGATTCCCCTGCGAGTTGTTTCGGATTTCTGTTTACACTCCGTATAATGCCCAGTCAAACAATTTCATGGATGTGGGAGTAAGGAGATGGCTGGCTCAAGTATAAGTTAATTTAAATTTGACGTCATTTTCACTGAGAAAAAAATATAATTAAATAAATAAAAAATAATTAAAGTTTAGCTAATTTCAAGAGCAATATACTCCCATTTCAAGAAACTTTTATCTTGAAAATATTAAAATTGAAGGCTTATGTTGATTATCATTATCGTATGCAAATGTTTTAAAGAATACAAATATTATTAGTTTAATTTATATCATTCCTGACTCATACGAAATATGGATTATATTTGTTATATATTTTTTTCGGTGCCCTGCAAGTCGTTGAGTTTTGAGATTGAGGCCCGCTTGAGCCCTTCGAGCTGCACATTGTTATGGATTATGCCTGGTTGAATCCCATTGTTGCTGCTGCTCCGATTGATATATATGATTGGGCTTGTGGTTGAGGCGCAGACGGGTATTGAACCGAGTAAAACCGATTTGGGGCCGCAGGTCTGGACTGGGAATTATTTCAAGTGGCAATTAGCGAGCCTCGAAGGCGAACTTCGGCATTTGCGGTTGCCAAACCGACAAACCATCATCCTGGTCAGAACTCATGAAATCATAACATATATGTATGTATAACGTTTGTGTGTGCATATGAGGATGCAGAGGTCCTTGGAGTGCGCCTTGAATATTTCATAAGTGGCAGACAGAGTGAATTTCTCGCAGGACAATTGGCGGTGGGGAAAATCCTGGCACACACCTCGCCTCTCACCTGTCTGCCCTTCTCGATCTGCATCTGTAGCCACCCCAGAGAGCTTTGAATATGTTTTGCGTAGCCAAAATTGTATCTGTATCTGCAGCTGGTCTCGGGGAATTTCCCTTTTGGCCAACTTATGCGATGTCTGCACGCAGAAAAGCAGAAAGAGAAGGCATTGTCTGGCAGCGAATTGCTTTTAAAAACTTTACAATTCAATCCCCCTTTTTGGCATGCATTCCGAATTGCATTTCGTATTGAATTTATAAATATTTAATGCCATCCCAAAATGCCATGCAACCCAGGCGAAATTTTCGTTTTCTTTATTGGGATAAACTGTCTAGGACTTTGTCGGTTAGAAGTTTTTAGCCGGGCTTAAAGAACTGGAACAGGGAATAGAAAAGGGAAATTCAAGTTTGTCCGGGTTAAGTTTTCCTTGTTTGCCCAAAGGATGTTTCGAGTAATCCCCTAGTTAAACAAAACGGATCAAAACCAAAACCGGTTCGTCATAATTGAGACAAGTCAACTTGTTAATCATGCAGCAATTTACTGTGGCACTCAATGATTCCCGAAAGGGTTGTTGCCGCCTCGCTGATTTTTTAATCAGCATATCATAGACTTTTGGGGGTTAACCTTTTTCCCAATCAGCTGTCAACATTTCGGCTGTCAAGGGATTTGCGTCAAAAAAGAGCGTAAAAAACCGAGGCAGCTATAATTATAATTAACACAGCCCCGGGAATTGAACTTCAATTCGGACTCTGCACATCTGCTAATTGTTTCAGCTCTTCCTTAATCCTTTCCTTATTATTTTTGGTTTTTTTAAGGGGCGTGACCGATGATTCAGCGGAGATCTGCTCTGTTTTCTTTGCGTTTTTAATATGCCAATCAATCTTTGTCTCTGGCGAACTTTAAGCAAGAAAATAAGTTTTTATATAAATGATTGATGAGGGCTCTGCCATGTGTGTCTGTGCTTTTCGCTCCGAAATCGCAATCGCAGTCTGAAATTTCAAATTTCAAATTTGAATAGAAATAAATAAATGTTCGCTGGCTGTTTGGGATCATTTTTTTGTATTTCCCCCACTCATTTCAAACTGACACTATACATCAGGGCATTTCCTTTTGCTTCTTGCTGGCGGAAATTTTCCCGAGCTGTTGTCAAACTCAAAAGTTGAAGGGAAACGACAGGCACTTATTGGTGTGGAATTCTTAGTTCATCGATACCCTTAAAAAGGGGATACAAATGATAGTAAGGAAATATGTAGGATTTTTTATTGAAAAATATAATGGAAAGTCGAGAGGTTGTTAGAGTCTATTGTAGGGTTTTAGAAATATTAGAAACTTAAAATTTTAAATACATAACAAATTTAAAAAGAAGTGATACACCTTAAAGTATACACCTGAGTAAGTAAATAAATTATTTTTAAAGGGTATCTTTACCCCAGATTCGTGTTATGACTTACCAAATATTTTTAGTGGACCCTGGAGTGGCGACACTTTCCCAGATTGATGGCTGCACATCCAGTGCGCCAAGAGTTTTCCATTTTCCTTTTTCCGTTTTCAGTTCTTTGCCAGTGTCAGCGATTTTTGAGCCGAATTCCACCGGAATGGCAGTGGAGACAAAAATTCAGAGTTGATGGGCGCCACTGGACAGGCTCGAAATTTATGCAGTCGAAAAAGAGTGCAGAAAAATTTGGCATATGTAGCAATATCGTCGTTGCAATGTGCAAATTCCACTTGGAATTAAATTTTTATTAAAGCCAGTAAATTTATGCAAAAGTTCTCCAAACACAGACATGTCTACACGCCCACTCAGGTGCGAGTGGAATTGCTTCGGGCCATGTTTGCCAAAGTTGTTTCCATTGTTGCTATTGTTGCTGCTGTTGCTGTTGCTGTTGCTGTTGCGCGGATGTTGCTGATGGAGTTTGGCTGGCCGTCGAGTCGTCTGCTCTTCTTGAGGAGTGATGTGCCTCGCTTGACTGCCTTAAACATGACATTTATTGTAACTGTCTTTTGGGGGGATATAGCCTTGCCATTTGCCTTTGACACTTTTCCCGCTCCTCCTGCATTTCCTTCACAAGTTTCTTTGTCACACCTTGATGTTGCTACTGCACGGAGAAGAAAATTAAATGGAAACTGATGATCGGAGGTTGCTCTTTCTTAAATCAACTTAACCTCTAGTTACCGATAGTTGTTGAAGAAAAATATGTAACCTTTAATTACTGCTTATTAGTACAGAAAATTATACAATTAGTTCTGTAAATGGCAACTAATAATCAAAGGTGGCTCTTTCATAGAAAATTTATACCGCCAGTTAAACCCTGGGCCGAACTACTAGCTAACCGCTAGTTAAACTCTTAAGTTATCAGATTCTACCAATACCAACTAAAGACTTTTAGTTTTATATGATTTGGGGAAGGGGGTTATCCAAAAATCTTAACTGCCAGATAACCCCCGGTTAAGCCCTTAACTTTTGTTTCATATAATATGATGAAGGGTGTTGGAGTAATTTTAAAAACTATATAAAATATTAAACTACTTTTCCCCTGTGCAATTGTTGAAGTTGCTGCTGGCAGAGTAGATGTTGCTGTTGTCATTTGAGCATTTGATATGCATTGTGGTGTGTCTGTCTGCATTTCAGCTGATTCTGTGTGTACTTATAGATCTGGCTGTGTGTGTTCGTCGGACATGTTTGTATGTTTGCCAGACGGCGCCAAACGTCGACAGTCATTGTCATGGCAACATGTTGCAGACACCGCTGCAATTGTTGTTGCTGCTGCTGTTTGCATTTCGCTGCTGCTGCTGCTGTTGCTGCTGCAGACAAACATTGAGTACTCCACTTCATTTATACCCCACATTTTGCCCCCTTTTGCTTATCATCCATTTATTTCAATTTCTGCACTTTTGCGTGGTGCAAATTGCACAAAATTTGCTCAAGTGCCTCCAAAGTGCACAATGAAAATGAATAATTATGTTTGGCTGCATATTGCATACTGGGTTTTGTGTAAGACTTACCCCCTTTCTCGCATCTTATCCCCTTGTCGTTTGGTATGCTTAATTAAATGCCTTCGAGGCAGTGACAAAAACATATTTCTAATAAGTAAGCAGAAATATGTCTACAATTGGGGGCAACAAAGTAATGCTGGGGGTAAAAATTTGTGAATTATTAATGGTATGAAATATTTTTGTAATAAAAATATAATGGATTCGTTGAGAAAGTAATAGAAAGGACATTGATGGTATCGAGCCTTGCAATGAAATTATCGAGCCTTAAAGTAACTTATCAAGCCTTCTATCGAAATTATCGATTACAACTTCGAGTTTTTCGATTACAGTGTATAATTGTTTATGTTTCTATTATTTTGAGGACATTTGTACTCATTTATCTCTTAGCCCAAAGTAAAGTTCACTGACCCAAGGGCTTATGGTCCTGTTTCGGTAGTCAGTTTTGAATGGCATTTTGTGGGGAAATTTAATTTCAATTTTCCTCATCAACTTATTGCGGTTATGTCTCTTTCGCTCCCGACTCAGCCCCTCTCTTTCTGCTCTACTGTACTGTGTGTAGGTGATTTTGGCATTTCCCGTCGTTAAGATTGCCGCCTGGCTGAGACAGGCACAGGATAATGCCGGCGCCGTCCTTGTCCCTCCGCAGAAAGAGAGGGAAGACACAAGGACGAATGGACAGACAGAGACGAAGACATGTACTGACAGACATTGAGAATGATTGAAGGAGTGGCACGAGGGGTCCAGAAGACTGGAGATGAAGACCCGAGAAGAGGGGTCTGGAGACCCAGCGACCGACATTGAAATGTTGTTGAACTTGCCTCCGATTTCTGCCTCCAT